GGCGGGGTGGGCAGTTCTAGGAAGGGCCTCCCCCCACCCCCCGACGGAACAGGGTGCCCCTGTGCAGAGCCTTCTGCCTCGGGACCCCCTAGGGTCAGGAGGGCGGGCGATCACAGTGGTGAATACCTGGCCTTGCATCTGACCGGGGCTGTGAGTGGGCCGGACCCTACTTCATAGATAAGGCACGCGAGGCCCGGAGGAGCAAACGGCTCCCTGGGGTGCAGAGCCAGGGACAGGCAGAGAGGCTGCCAGAGGCATTTCCTTTGAGTTTGGTGAGGGGCGGCGAGGTGGGGGGTTCCTCTCAGACCTGGCCTTTCCTGACGATGTCCGCTTCTCCAAGGGCCTGAGGACAGGGAGTCCTCGAGGTGGGTTGGGGAAGGGCACTGCTCCTGAGACTTTGGCAGTGATGTTGGAAATGAGACCTCTGTCCAGGAAAAAAACAGTGGGGGCCGCAGGGAAATAGAGCATAAGGGGCTGGCGTGGTCAGGGAGGGCTGCTCAGAGGAGGGGGCCCCATGGGGCCGGAAGCTTGGTGGACACGGAGACAGGTCTGGGAGAAGTCTCAGGCTCATGGAGGGCCGAGGTGCAGGGCGCTGGGCTGGGCCTCTGCTTTGGGTCACGTCTCTGTTCCGTGACAGCGAGGATGGCCAGGCCTCTGGAGCAGGCGGTGGCTGCCATCGTGTGCACCTTCCAGGAGTATGCGGGCCGCTGTGGGGACAAGCACAAGCTCTGCCAGGCGGAGCTCAAGGAGCTGCTGCAGAAGGAGCTGCCCACCTGGACGCCGGTGAGCGCCTGGGAGGCCGCCCTGCCGGGAAGCGGGGCTCAGGCTCTGCGAGGAGGGACGGGGACCAGCTCTGAGCAGAGGACACCCAGAGGGGGCGAGGCCAGCCGGCGGGGCGGGGGCCCCTCATCACCCCGGCTGCTTTGCAGGGCTGTGTGCGGGACACACGGCAGGCACTCAGCAGCAACAGTGGGAGCCCGATCAATGGTCTGAGGAGGAGAATTGGGGGGCGGCTGGGCTGAGGTTGGCCCAGCAGGGGTGAGGGTGGGCGTGGGCGGGGCGCCCAGGCGCGGGGGCAGGGAGCAGTGTGAGGGCGAGCGGTCCTGCCCGCCTGACTCGCCCCTCCGTTCCCACGCACCCCCGCAGATGGAGTTTCGGGAGGGTGACTACAACAAGTTCTTGAGTGTCCTGGACAGCGACAAGGACGGCGAGGTGGACTTCGTGGAGTACGCGCGCGCGCTCGCCTGCCTCTGCACCTACTGCCACGGCTACTTCAAGGACTGTCGCCCCGAGCCTCCCTGCTCTCAGTAGCCTCTGCTCCAGCGGGCAGCGGTCTGCTCAGGACGCCCCCTGCCCCCGCCCCAGGCGGTCCTGGGCGCACGGCCACTCCCACGACCCTCCCTGCTCAGCTGGACTCTCCCAGGCTTGCCCTTGAAGATTTATCCGTGTTGCCTGTGAGGAGGGGGCACGTGCAGGGACCTGGCCCAGGGATGCCAGCTCGTGACGTGCAGAGCGGCCCCTCGCCGCCTCCCTGCTGTGGCCTGTGATGGCTGAGGCAGGGGTCTGCTTCCGGGCAGCTCAGACCCAGCAGAGCGTGTGCACGAGCGGGCGAGGCCACGGTGGGACCGGCCCTAATAAAGAACAGGTGTCACTCTGCTTAGCTTCATTCTTCTGAGAGGCCGGTCGGAGCCTGGGGGCAGGGACCCGCTGAGGTGGGAGGGCAGGAGGCCAGGGCAGCTTCAGACCCTGCGGAAACAGAGGGTCGGCCCAGCAGGAGGGGAGGGATCGACTGGAGGCCATGTCCAGGGGAGGCTGGTGCCACCTCTGGGGTCTTGAAGGAGAAGCTCCTTTGAGCTGTTGTTGAGGGAGAGAAGGCGGCCGGAGCCCTGGGGGGATGGAACTCAGGCCTCGTGATGGGCGGGGCCGTGAGGGGGTGTGGGGGG